TTTCAATCAAACCACTATTACGACCTCGCTTCATATATACGAAATCCAAAGATTTCAACAATCTAAATAATGATGTTCGAGAAAAATTTGGTAAACCTTTATCTTCATTGACGGACACAAGAATCTTGTCTAACGTAGGCGTATCACGATCGTGCCAAAATTGATGCACTTTTCTTCTGATACCATACTTGTCAAACTCATCTACTTTTTCGGTCAGTTGTTTTCGGACTTTCGTTTTGTTTGGCGAAGAAACAGTTTTTGTCCGTTGATACTCCAATATGGTGTTATAAATTGTCGATTGACCAATTCCAAGTTCGTAAGATAAAGTTTTTTTCAGGTGAACCATTTTATGTTCAGGGTTTTCGATCATTTTGGCTTTATATGCATTAATAATCATCGTTTTTTGACGAGAACAAACAAACTGAGAAAAATAAATATATTTAGATTACAATATTATCCACATCAGATTTTGAAATATAAGTCATAGTTAATACCTAATACAAATACATATTTAAACGTTTTAAACGTTTTATGTACTATATGTGATCTAATAAGGTTAAACGTAATAAATTTTTTTAAACTATAAAACTTTAAAAATGCATTAAAAATATGCACTTGAAAGGCAAAAAATGGCCAAAATAATTCAAAATTTAAGTTTCATAAACCGATTTGTTGTTACATAACTCAAATTATGTACTTACAAAGCTACGTTTCACAATCACGAAAAACAAGAACTTTTATGAAAAATCTGTTTTGACAAAATCTATTTTTTTATGTAGTTACAACCAGGGCTTCAAAACGTTAAAAATAACGTTATAATTTAAACGTTATAACGGAAAAAAATTAACAAAAAATAAATAAAATAAATAAACGAAAAACGAAAAAAATCGAATAACATTAAACATAATACATCATTAATCACAACTAATGTTTAAAAATTAACAATAAACGTATTTGTAACGTAAAAAAATTGCAAATAGGTAACGTTAATCGAAAAAACATTAGAGCTTTTTTTACATTGAACTCAATATGATTTTTTTTTTTAAATCTTAACGTTATGAACAATTCAAAATTGGCTAACTATTGTTGACAATAATTTATATTTTCCGAATTATTTTCAGGTTTATTTATTACTTTATAAGACGTAAATACGTTTATTTCTGTAATATTCAACTAATCAATGCCTATGATTTATTAATTTATAAATGTATATTATTAATTATTTAAATATAAGTTTGTTTGAATAATTTCTGTCAAACAAATTGTATTATATTGTGGAATAACTGCTCAACAAAAAATTATAAAATTTAAATTTTAAAATACACTAAATATCATATTATTTATAAATATTAATTCTAGATACAAATAACAACTTCATTACATATTACCATCTATAAAATATTAGTCATAAACTTGTAAATTACAACTATTTAGTATTTATTATGATTACAATTTTGAGCTAAAAAGTCTAATACCTACCTATTACAAATTGCAACACATAATACTGGTAAGTTATTATATTAATAATTTATAGAGTTACATTGAAGATTGAACATTTAAAATGTTTAAGCTGCTATTTAAATTAACTAATTACTATTTTGTAATTTATATACTTCAAGCAGTCAGTGGACTAATATAATTAGAATTTATTAAACACATTTTCTATTTCGTATGATGCCATTTTATTTTTGTTTCTGTGCACAGAGACCAGAGTATTAGATAATGTGATAATTTATAAATTTATGATACTTAAAATTAAAATTTGTTGTCAGTAATAAATATTACTTCATAGCTTGCTGAAGTTACTAATACCTAAATTAACATTAACTTATCAGTTAGCTCTTTGGTCTTTGTCAAAAACTAGGAAATTTGTCTAATTTCATAATTCTTACATAACAAAATGGATAATTATGTCACAAATAACGGTAGAATTTATTGAAAATAACCATTTAATCCCCTATTTATCTTTAAATTATAACATTTAACAAAAAACGAAAAATTAAAATAACGTTTAATAATGCAAAAACGTTTAAAGAAAAAAATCAAATAACGTTTCAACGTACAATAACGTTAAACATTAAAATCGTATAACGTTTAATAGCCAAAAACGGAAAAACGATATTTTTTTTTAGAATTTAAGCCCTGGTTACAACCACATAACAAAATCACTTTGTCTAAAACTGGTTTTGCTTAAATAAATTGCTGTTTTTCCGTCACTTTTTTTTTTTGTTTTCCTGATTTTTTTAAAAATTACTGGGAAATTATTTTTAAAAAAAACACATCATAGTAAAATACACATATTATACAATAAAAAATAATATACGGTATTTTTATATCTTGTATTTTAATTCAAAAACGAATAACCATTCATACTTGAAATTTTCAATAAAATTTTAATTAATATTTAAATAATGACTTACCTTTCCTCTCGGATTGTGTTTTGCAGGAGATCGTGTATTGCTAGGTAATTGATCCATAATTTTAAAAAAATTGAAACAAATTACAACAAATAACAACTGACAATATTAAAATTAATGAAAACGTGGATTATGGGCACGGCAAAGGACAAACAAAGTATCGTGGCATACGTCTAAATCAAAAATGACGACATGGCCATACACGATATGTATTAGGTGCGTAATACATTCCATATTATAGAAGGAGAAATAAAACATCTGCCAGCCAGACTAGCCAGTGGTCCTTAATATACATTACACAATAGACACCAAAGAGACTGACAAATACACCAGTTGGAATTTCTAGAATGCTGAATTATAAGTATTGTTATAAGGTAGATGTTATAGATACATCTAACTGTTGTCGATAATTTGTATCCCACCAAAAAAGGTCACATTCACACAATATAACACTGTATATATTGCGGCCCGAGAATTTTGTAAAATGTGAATTGTGTCTCAGTATATACTTCTATTTATTTTCAGTCACAAAGTCTGTACGTATATCAGTTCGAAAAGTCTGAGATCAAAAATCGTAATAACTGAACAATTATGTTTGAAAATACATATGGTAGATACAACAAAAAATACCGCACGTGTTCTTTTTACTAATTACGTTATTTATTTATTTAAATTTTTAACGAATCATAATTTATATATTTTGACATTGACGTTAGTTAATAATAACTTTCGATCGATAGATGAGACAATCGCATACTTATGATTTATATTCCATCATACATTGTTTAATGTATTAAACGTTTTCGTTCTTTTTAATTAACGAACGTATTAAAAATACTCTTTTAAATTTTGACTCTGCATAGTCAACATTTTTAAAAAATGTATCCGCCAAATTCAGTCGTCCTAATATTAGTATAGAGATCATGAATTGAGTTGTGGCGTCCGGCGCCCCAAGCGTGAATCGAAACACGCGGAGCGCCGACGTGAAACGAAACACTCCGAGCGCCGACGTGAAACGAAACACTCCGAGCGCCGACGTGAAACGAAACACTCCGAGCGCCGACGTCGCCGTTTGGACGCGGTCTCTAGAGTGGGGTGACATGCGCGAATACCGACGAAAGCTGGTCGGCTGACTGATTATTCTCTCGTGGAATTGACTGTATATTATGATAATTTAAAATATTATAATATTATCATATAGTTCAATGGTGGCTACAAGTTTCAATTATATTATCACAGAACAATTATGGTATTATGTTTACCTTGTTTCTTCTGTGATAATATCTACTAATCATATGGCTGGTAGCTATCAAATGATAAACCAAAAGCTTAAAATAGATTATTATTGTTATAATAAAATTATGTATTATTAAAATTCAACATTTTAACAATTATTAACGAATAACGGTACTGGTACTTTGATACAAAGTACAAGGAAATAAGGAAGCCGTATTGTTATACTTTAGTCTTTAACATATATATATATTATTCTTTGCTGTTGTTTAGTGTTTATTGTTTTTTGTTTAAAAGTACCATTATAAATAGACATGACTTCAAAAAAAATTAAATCAAAAACTTTACTCGATTTCTTCAAACCTGAACCAAATTCTGGTAAGTTAACATATAATTAATTTATTAATCATTAAAAGCTTATTGCTTATATTTTGTATCTGCACGACTGCACCTATGCCTCAATGCTAAATTTATTAATTGTATAGTTTTTCTTATAATTATATAAGTAATCTGATCATTGTATACACATTAATACATTAGTAATTAGTTCAATGTATTACTCATACTTACAATTTATTAAGTAAAAATTACATCTAAGTTATACATTTAAAAATCAAATTAATTTAATATAAGTTATTATTATTAGATTTAATTTTAATATATTTTATATTTTATTGTTTTATAGAGCATTTTAATACAAATCAGTTATCTGAAACTGCAAAGGAAATACCTATAAATGAATCATCAGGTAATTAACAACTATATTAATAGTACCTATTGTCGATTATACTGTACAATATTTGGAAAATTATAAATCTGTATTAACTATTTAGCTGTATGATGTGCCTATTTACCACTTAGTTTAATATACAAAATAATTTAGATGAATTGGATCCAGATGACCCAATGCTGTTGCCACAATGTACAAGTGATTCTACAGATATTGCACAGTTAAGAACAGAAGTAACTGGTATGAATATAAATATTTGAAAAAATAAATCATTTTAGTTTTGATATATTTTATTATTTTATAGAACAATCGAAAGTGGACCAGTCATTAAAAACTACAGTTTGTGAACTATTAGACAGTTGTATTGGTAATATTTTAAACTATTTTGTTTATGTGTTATTTGTGAGCTCTTTGTGTTCAATGTTATAATATTGACAATATTGTGTTTCTAGATTCATTGTATCTATAAAAACATTTATCAATCTTTTTTTTTTAATGTGAGTGCTTTTTGTATACAACTAATTTATTAGCTATATTATTGGTGGCTTTCGAATTAATATTGTGTATTAGATTTGTAATTAAAATTAACATAATTATTTATTTCTAGTTAAATAGTTTAAATGTGTTTTGTGATTTCTAAATTCCTAAGTATTTTACAAGTAACTAATCAGTAGGAATGAATAATAAATTATTATTTGTGTTATTTGATAGATCTGGAAAAATTTCCTTCTTCTGAACTTCATCCTGATGATCCTATTAATGAAATACTAACAATTCAAACTGAATTTAGACAACGTATTAAGAATGGTCCATTCCAACCTATACTAAACAGTTATCCAAAAACAGCGTTTAGTGGTATATTACGACATTTTCAAAGTCACTGGTATAAACAGTTTCCTTGGCTTGAGTATAGTCAAATAGGAGATTTAGCATATTGTTTTCCTTGTCGAATGTTTACACATTCTTCAGGAATCAATATTGGACAAGCAGAATTAACTTATTCAAAGTTGGGTTTTAAAAATTGGAAACTGGCTACATCTAAATTTAAATTGCATCAATTATCCAAAGCCCATTTAAACAGCTCTACATCTTTGAACAATTTTTTACGTTTAAAACCAATTGACATAATTTTGGATGAAAATAGAGAACTTGTGCACAGTCAAAAAGAACAAACACAATTAAAAAATAGACAAATTATGAAACGACTAATTGATATAACAGTTTGTCTTGGTATAGGTGGTAAACCGTTTCGCGGGCATAGTGAAAAGTCTAATGATATTCACAAAGGACTGTTTTTGGATATAGTTGGACTCTTAACAAAATATGATCGTATTCTAAATGAACATATTAACTCTGGACCAAAAAACGCTTTATATTGCAGTAATCGGATTCAAAACGACTTAATTTTGTCCATAAGTCAATTGATGAAAAGACAATTAAAAGAGTGTATACAAGATAAAAAACTATCATTGATTTCCGATGAAACAAGTGATTTAGGGCATCACGAGCAACTATCAATTGTAATCAGATACTTTGATGACACCAAGTGCTCTGTTGTAGAACAGTTTTTAACAATGAAAAGAATAAAGTCTGTTAATGCTCAAAGCATTTTCAATACATTGAGTGATGTCATTGAAGAATATAACATTAAATGGGAAAACATTGTTTCAACTTGTTTTGATGGAGCTGCGACAATGGCAGGTAGTACTGCAGGTGTTCAAACTAAATTTAAAGAAAAGAATAAGAAGATATTTTTTGTACACTGTTACGGCCATTGTTTAAATCTAATTTTGGTTGATTCCGTTGGTTGTAAAAATAGAATTGCTTTTGATTTTTTTGGAACTATCCAGTTAGTGTATAATTTCATAGAAGGTAGCTGTTCAAGACATGCTATTTTTGAAAAAATTGTCAATTCTACTAATGCTAAACTTAAAACTTTGAAATCTTTATCTAATACTAGATGGGCCTGCCGTTCCGAAGCTGTAAGTGCAGTAAAAATAAACTATTTGTCTCTTTTAGTAGCAATTGAAGAAATTATAGATTCTACCAAGCAATCTGATGTTAGAGTTAAAGGTTTAGGTATTATTTTTCAACTAAAAAAGTTTGAATTTATATTTGCTCTAGAAATGTTTCATCCTATTCTTAATGCAGTGTTAAAAGTAAGCACATTTCTACAAACTTCTAACATAAATTTGTTGACAGCTGTGGAAGTAGTAGAATCCTTGAAAGAATCTCTGAATAAAATGAGAAATGAGGAATATGAATTTAAAAATATTTATAAAAATACTGTTAAATTATGTACTGATATTGATATTCCAATTCCAACTTCAAGAAAAAGAAAAATTTCATCAAAAGTAGACACTTCTCATTCCAACGAGTATTTCTTTCAAACTAAAGAAGAAGAAATGAAACTAACTGTATATAATACAGCTTTGGATCAAATGATCAATGGCATATCTATTCGTTTTAATCAAGAAACAATTAATATGATTAAGAGTATAGTCAATTTAACAATTTTACAAACAAATTATGACAATGTGTGTACATTAGCATCATCGTTTAATCTGGATACACTAACTTTACAAACAGAAATACGACTCTTGCAAAATTACGATAGTGTTCCTAAAAATATATTGAAAAATAAATGCGATGAATGGATCAAATGGTTATCTTCTTGTGATAGACAAAATATTTTCCCTAGTATCACAAAAGCATTCAAGTTATTTGTTACAATACCAGTAACAAGTTGTAGTTGTGAAAGAACATTTTCAAAACTAAATTTGGTTAAAACAAAGTTACGAAGTACGATGGGTCAGGAAAGATTAGATGGACTTTTAAACATGTTCATTGAACAGGAACAAGCTTATAATGTAGATTATGAAGAAGTAATAGACATTTTTAAAACATTAGACCCTACTTCCAAACGACGTATGGAACTTTAATAAAACATACTACATTATTACCTATTTTAAAAGTTGTTTAAATTATGTTTTTTTTTTGTTATTTTTTCTTATTATGTATTCTATGTTCTATTAGGTAGGTTTTTATCGTTACCTATTCGTTAAAGATATTATTATTAAAAAGGGTTTATTGAAAACTATTTTGGTAATTTTATGTTTAACCTAACTCTTAACCGTATAGAATAATACCATAGTTTAATAGAATCATATACTTGATTTTGTGTGAAGATTTATTTATTAATCGTTGGATCACATCAAGCTCTAAGCTGTGAAAAAAATATCTAGGGGAAGGGTTTGAAGTCTGGATCTCCTTAGCAAAGATATTGCCTCCCCTGCCAAGAAGACCTGTGCACGCTTATGGATAGCAGATATTTTATAAAAACAACTGTAGAATCCTATACCAATTAAAACTCTGTAAACTATTAAATATCACAATTTTTATTAATTAAGAAAAATATTATTAATTTATCAAAGGATATCTTCTTTTTTTAATTTTTGAAAATATATCAACCGCATCATCTAAATTAATTTTACCTGATACATCACTTTCCACCGCAATGACCAGTAAATCACTCAGCCGTTCATTTCCCATTGTTAGTCGTAGATGGGTTTTAACTAATTTTAGAGAAGAAAAGAAGCGTTCATTGGATGCAGTAGTAACAGGCAAAGTCATAAGGATATTTATAATTTTAAGAGTTTCTTGAAAAGCATTTGGAAGTTGGTTTAAAATTTTTGAAATAGAATAAAGGTCATGAATTCCATCATCTCTGTCTATGTTTGCATGATTTATTAAATTTTTTGCAGATGGAAATTCACATTGAAGATTTTCATAATTAATTTTAAAATGTTTATAATGATCAATAAAGGTAACTAAATGGGGACTTTTTAAATTAAAATAATCAATACTAGAGGATGAGAAAATGTTACAAGTAAGAACTATTTCATTACTAGGATTGCTGAAGCGATGGTTTAGTTCATTCAAAAACCTAAAACAATAAAATAAAAAATATATACTATCAAATTAATGCAGATAAAAGTAGTTAGTTTTTTCAATTAAATGATACTTATTAATAATTTTGATTTAAGTTTTTACCTGTCAATTGCAGTATAAAAAATAATTTTTATATCACTCAATGGCTAGTTATTTTCAATTGATGTATTGCTATTATTTTCATAAGTTCCTTGTCCTATTGTTGATTGAATAAAAAAATCTTGAAGATTTCTATTTAATCTCACTGGTCTTCTATTTCTTGAACTATTTTCATAGACTATTTCTTTTTTTTCAGCAACTAATTTTGTGCTGTTATTAATTTTATCCCAAAATGTATCGCTACGCATTTTTTGGATATTTTGCTTTGTATTTTGTAACAAATTAATCGCTGAAGATTGTATAATACTTGCGCCTTGAAGTTCTACTGAAGCACAGTGAATAGTTTGTAATAAAATCTCCATAGCATGAGAAGTTTTTATAAATGAAATATTTTAAAATTCTTTTAATATACCAATAGCTCTTGCAGTTTGATCTCCTTGATGACTCAGTATTGATAGAACTTCTAAAATTTCAGTAAAACGCATATTAACTTTTTGTATTGATTTATACCAATATGCCCACCTTGTGTCTGCCAACCGTTCCAAATGAATTACAGGTATTTGTTTATCTTTTTGAGCTCTGACAAATAGCTCATACCTTGTCTGCCCATTCATTAAAAACTTATACAAGTTTTGAATTGTATTGAAAAAATTACATAAGTGGGGTATATTTTGTAGCGTTTGAACTAAACATAAATTTAAACGATGAGCATAGCAGTGGACATAAATGGCATGAGGAACTTTGGAGCATATTCTTTCTTGAACACCGGAATACTGCCCACTCATAACAGAAGCTCCATCGTAGCATTGTCCAATACAGTTCATGATATCCAATTTATTTATTGATAGTATTTTAGTTATTTCACTTGCCAAACATTCAGCATTTGAATTTGCCATGTAGTAGCAACCAATTGATCTCTCACAAATATTTAGTTCTTTGTCTACAAACCGTATTAAAAAACTCATTTGTTCTTTTTTTGATAAGTCTTTGGTTTCATCAACCATAATTGTATAAACGCCAAACTTATTCATAGAGTTTAATATAATCTGTCTTGTACATTGAGCTATACTACTTATAAAATCGTTTTGATACTCAGGACTAGTGTAGTGACCGTAACGTGCCTGTAATCGTAATTTTATTTTATCATCAGCAAACATATCTAAAATTTCTAAAAAATTCCCTCTGTTTTTAGAAATATCAGACTCATTATGTCCACGAAATGCTAAACCCTGTTTTGACAGAAAAAGTGCCGCCTTTAGTAAGAATTTTAAGTGTTCTCTATTTTCAATAATATTTTGTTGTCGTACGTTATTAACTTGATTAGCGATAGATAGTGAATGGTTTTTTTTAACTAGAAGATAATCGTTCCAACGCTGTACACAAATAACATGAGTCTTACATCTCTGATGATTGTTCAAAGATAAGGTCTGTTCCTTCCAAATTTTACATTTTGAACCATAATTAACAAAACATAAATTACCAGCAGTTTTTCCAGAGGCTATAATGTTGGCAGAAAAATGACGGCATGGAAAACAGAAAATTTCATCTTTTGATACAGAATACTCTATCCAGTTGTAAATTTTATAATGTCTACTTGTAAATCGTCGACCATTGGTAGCGGGGAATAACATTTCTGGCTGAACTGGTTCATCATTTTTTGATAAAGATATATCACAAATCTGTAAAGCATAAATATCATATTTAGTATATAGTAATTTTAACCAATCTAGCATAAAATAAAACAATTATTATACATACCAAAGGCTCTATAGCATCGCATACATTGGAAGCAGGCTCAGTACATGGTAAAACCTGTAAAGCATAAATATTATATTTATTATTTAGTCCATAGTATTTTTTACCAATGTAGCATAAAATAAAACAATTATACATACCAAAGGGTCTATAGAATCACATACAAAAGGGGTAGACTCAATACATGGTGTTGGTTCTAATGAAGACTTCTGCAAAAAATTAATTTTACCATGTTAAAAATTTGAAAACATTGCAATAGGCTCACAATCATTTTCGACCATGTACATAATTTATGCAAGAATTATTTATTTAAGAAATTAGAACTTACCAAGACTTCTTCAGAATCATTAATTGACGTGCTTTCTGAATTAGTGCTTGCTTCAGCCTCAGAAATTTTTGATGGTTCTATAAAACGATGTACATAATATTTTTAATATTTTGAAGTAATATTTATGAAATATAGAAAATATAAAACATATATTTTAGAAAATGTATAAGGAACTACTGCTTATAAGATAAACTATTATTAAACAAAAATAAAATTTAAGAGATCAGGTACCTACAAAATACATGTATTGCAATTTCATTCTTAAAGAACTGATATGTAAAATATTTGTAAATAGTAAAATGCAGAATTCAGAAACAATGTTGAATTATTCAATTGAAACATGCACTAATAGAAGTAAAAAAAGCAATGTTTTATTTGAGTACCTAATATGAACATTTTGTTAATTATATAATATGGATAACTAAATAAAATATTTGTGGCATGAAACTGTTACATAAATATGAAATATTATTAATATTTTATTTAGTTATCCATATACCTATTGTTAGATACAAATATTAAATATTATTAACAATATTTCTCGAATAAAACATTGCATTTTTTTTTATTATTATTATTGTGTATGTTACAATCGACTAATTTTTAATTCAACACTGTTTCTGAGTTCTGATTATCACAAATTATTACTCATTTATTTGATATTTAAACTATTTAGGTACAAACATTTTATATTTATGTTCTTTAAGATTCTATGCAAAATAGACTAATTTATTTGTTTTTTATATTTGTCACACAATATGCTTTTTGATTTGACTAATTTATATAAGCAACATAATAATATTTAAACCGTACTCACTGATGTAACTACTCTTATGTATGTTTGTATAATATGAAATATTTTAAAGAGAATTTTCAGTAAATTTACCCAATAGAAAAATATGAACTACTTACCGGCTGCATGAAATAACGTGGTTATCTTAGTGCAGTTTTGTCCCTGTACAACTGCAGGTTGTTGTATTAATTGTGCATCAATCTAAAAGATATAAAATCGAATTTATAAATTAATATTATCTTAAGTTATACTAATTTTTCAAATTTATTATTGCTTGCTTACTGGTTCAGGTTTTGTTTGTTTATTAAACAATTCAGAAATTGTTTTTGATTCTTGGGCGACTTGCTGTAGTTTTATTTTTTTTGCACGACGGTTTTTAGCCGCACCACCCATTACTTTTTTTTTAAGAAATGTTTTATCCATATCAAAAGAATAATGAGATTATGAGAACACACGTCACGAATATAATTAATATAGGTAGAATAAGCGGTTACTGAAATAAATATTAACAAAATACAGAATAGTTTACTGTGAATTATGATAAACGACTGACTAAGTTGACAGACGTCTGAGTCCTGAGATAATGAGTAGGTAAGAGTGTAAGTGCGCGTATCCATACGCGCGGAAACTCGAACATTGCGGCGGTTTATTTGCCGCGCACATTGATGTATCAACCTTTAAAGCGCGGCGTGCCTCGCGCGGCAGTTATCCAGCTCGTTTCACCTCCTAGAGTGCGATCCAACGTTCAGTCTTCGCGGCTAAGTGCAACCATGAACGTTTCACGTGCACGAGCAGCTGCTGCTTTCATATAATACATCACATTATTAAAAAAAAACCCAAACGAAAAGCGCGATGGTGGATGAAGAAATTGTATGTTAATCGAATGCAGTGTGGTGTTAAACTTTGGAAGATATGAGATATGAAGCCGTTGAAGATACAATAAAATTTTACAAGAATGACAACTATAGAGTTTGAGCACTTAAATCATTAATTGAGCCCACAGGTGAAGAAAATGG